GGACGAAAATTCGCTTATCGATCAAGTTCGTGCGATAAAGTTGAATGTATTAATGTAAATTTAAGCAATATTAAAATAAAAAGTTGCGGACATTTGTATCTTGGAAAATTACAAATACTTCACATTTTCTCTAAAATGAATAATTTTCGTTTCTTACTTTCGGAACAATTACGTAAATTTGAATAAAATATAAATACACAAAATATTACTTTCTAATCAATCATAAAAGAATTCGTCAAACTGTAATAGTAAAAAAGCGATTTGTAGTTATAGACATCTGTAACTTTAAGAATAGGAAACACATTCCAGTGCAAAACTGGTCTCTCTCTCAAGGCTATCGCGTATTACGCATAGTTTTAATGAACACGGTGATATGTTGATTTATCTCTAATTCCGGTTCTCCCATATAAAATAACAAGGCTCCTCGTTTTAAATACAAACAGCGAATTTCGTTCTATCAATACCAAATTCACTTGACACTTGACTACATGTTTGGAAGTGCTTGCAAAGTCCGTCTATCAATTCCAAGAACTCGTTTTTTCGGAACCCATGTTGCATTAATCTGTGCACAAATCTATGTTTGAACACGTGCCAAACTTCAATCGCTGCATGCTCCAGTGCGGAAAGAGTTCTAATTAGAACATGCTTTTCTCAGATAATTACTAACAATTTTGATGCAACGCGGATTAAACATGTGTCTTTGATCCGTTTATCAATAAGTACGTGTCAAACTTGACACTGATGCACTTTAAAAGCGAAAATGGACATTTATTTTAGAACGGTATATTTACATCATATCTTGCAACGAATACCTCCTCGATCTTTCCCTTTCTATGGGATAATAATTTTACATTACATCTCATATTATTTTATTGGTATTTGTTGTAACAAGTAATTAATTAATTTCAATTATCGCATGTGTTATAACTATCTTTCGTCATGATTGATCTCCGTCACTCGGTAAAAATACATTTCTTCTTATCTCATATTTAAAATACAGAATTTAAAATATTTTATATAAATTTTATATAATTTGAATTTTCATATTTTTATTTAACATATCATACACTTGGAAAGACAAGAGCTGAAATTGCTTAATTAATTTGATTAAAGCCGCAATCGCATTTGTTATCCTTCTTTACACACTCGCTTCATATACAAAAATTGTAGAATTAGAATCAAGTTTTTTTTTTTTTCAACAGCGAACATAACGCAAGATCTTTCGATTTTCGATCGTCAAGAGACTGAAAACTACCTACCTCGAAAAGCGGACAACCTTGGATTCGGAGCGACTTGAGCGCGGGAAACCTGGCGAGTCTTTCGACTTCGTCCCAGGTCGACAGTAGGGTACCATTTACATTCAAAAACCTTAACATCCTGAAGGGATCGTGGGGCGACTCTATGGTCATTCCATTGGATTCCGGCTTCGACTCGGATCTATCGTAATTGACCTTACTGTCGAATATCCTATTTCCCTTCTCGTCTGTCGACGATGTCGTATGTTCGTCCGCATCGAAATGATTCATATTCTCGTTGTCCTGTCCATGACTTTCTTCCTTCATTCGACGGCCATCCTCGTTTGACAAATTCCGATTTTCCTCCAACCCAAGCGACTTGATCGGACATTCGGCGAGAACGAGACTCTTCAAGTTTGGAAATACATACCTAAAAGAGTACACAACGTCCAATAACAAATTTTTCGAAATGAAGGTTAATTATACATTCAGACATATAAATGAAAGAGTCATGTTGACGGAATAATCATATCTTACTCTATATCACAAATTAATAAATTTTCCAACTATTGATATTAAAATAGGATCGCGTGTGATTTACCCCAACTTCGAGATCTCGTTCCAAATTTCTACCGGATTGCCGGTAAAGTGTAATTTCTTTAGCGCCGGATTCACATTCTCTGGCTTTTGATAATCCAGATCCACCGTTTTATATTCATTCAAGGACAAGTGGAGTTCCTCCAAATTGCGCAAGAGCCGCACCAGTCCCTGCACCGTCGACCACGAAACCCTGGTGCCGTTAAGCACAAGATTCCTCAAAAGATCGTAGTTACCATGTTTGATTTCCAACACCTCTGCGAGACAGTTGAAGCTCAAGTTTACAAACTTGATCTTGGGCATGTGCTGCAAGATACCAAATACTTCCGTCCATTGTGACAGCTTGTTCTGCGCCAGATCAAGTTCCTCGACATTTTTACACTTGCTACGGAGTTTCTCAGCGTCGCTGCCCGCCGACTCGATGTCGCAGTCCTGGAGAACCAGTAACGCCGGCACCGTGTGACGTGGGGACTTCTTAGGGATGAAGATGCTTACCGACAAGGCAGCCTTAGGCGAACCGGACTCTGCCTCATCGTCCGTTAATGAACAGTCCGTCGTTGAGCTGCCGTACTTGAGCTCCAACGCTTCCAGCAACGACGGCATTTTTACAGCATTCTAAAAAATTGCGGAAGGGCTTATATTGCATGAATAATGAGGGATATAATTATGACAAATTTTCTTAATTAAGAAAAGGAAAATATCACCCT